ACCACAGTTCCTCTCTAGCGTCATTAAAGTGGTAGATGTTAGCATACTGGAAGTGGTCTAGTTCGTTGACTGCATCTTTATTTTTAGCCAAGGATGATCACTGTCAGCTTTTAGAGCTGTAATGCATCGTTTGTAACTCCTTTTTTAACAATCTTAAAGCATCAAATTTTCGTGTGTCGTCTACAAATGTGGAAGTTAAAATTAAATGCAATATCCAACAAAATCTGGGCGCAATGCCTTTAATGTGCAAGCTAAAGGACTAGTACATTTATGACGTGTTATCTCACTGAATTTCGGCAGGACTTGCATAGTGCCCGCACTGCTCTATGTAGCCATGATTTATTTCTGTTCTTTCGGTATGAGGCATGCATTCAGAGCCCACTGAAATGACTAACGAAACACTGCAACTACAGTGCTAATGAGCTTGTGACCGCGGTGAAAAAATGTGAATTACACTGCATTCAGGTGATGGAAGTCCTGCGACTTCGTCGAGAGCTATAACTATAATTGTCATCAACAGTGTGTGCTAGACCAACACACATCTGATGTTAATGACTCATCAACGCATTGAGAAGAGCGTCATTTCCTTGATAGTTACGTGTCATAATGGGTTTAAATGTTAGTCTGTGGGAAATTTCGGATAATCTAAGCTCTCGCACATTTCATTTTTCACGCTTTCATAAATGATTGCGTTACTTTGGCGTAATTGCTACGCAGTCGTATGCTACTTTTTTGCTGTTCAAGATGTATAGTTGTGTTGCGTGTTGACGAATGGATTCTTGTGGCCTATCCTGGAGAACACAAATTGAAGGTTTCTTCCTTATTATCTGTCCACGAGATTGATCTTCGAAGCTAGTACTTAAGAAATGAATTCTGGTCACCTGACGATTTTAATAATGTTGTCTGTGTTATGCGTTCGATATTGTAGTCAGCTTCCAGTGATCAGAGAACGAAAATGGCACGATGTGCAGCTTCTTATCACTTAGCTGCATTCCTAACAGCCGAAGACCATTTCGTTTTTGCAGTCAAATAGTATTTTGGCTGGAGGTAGAAATGAAGAAGATCTGTAAGACGTGTAACAAGGGATACTAGGTGAACAGTAATCCGTTAAGTACGACAGTTGTCCGATAAACAGGGGTTCGATCCGTCTTTAACCAGAAAGCCAAGGGTATCTGATTGGCAGATCAGAATGAACGACTCAGAGGATGGGCTGAGCATTTCCAATAGATGTTCAACAATTTCCCTGCAGATTTGTTTTTAACGACCGTTAATTGTCTGACTATGCCAGAGGCTAGTTCAGATTAATCCACAGGGCCAGAAATCCGAAAAACCTTGCTATACATGAAGATGGAGAACATAAGCTGAATGGATTGAATTCCTCCAATGTTAATTAAGTATGGAGGAACGGGAATGGTAGAAAAGCTCTATGCTCTATTTGGTTAAATGTAGTCCTCCAAACAATTTTGTGGTGGGGTGAGGTAATTATCACAGGATTTAAGAGGGGTCGGGCGACCGAGTGTTGCAATTATCGTTTTATCATCATACTCTCTACTCACCAAAACTTTTCACTTGTGTTATCCTGAAAATGTTCAGCAGGCAGTTAATGGGAAATCATCTTCAAAATTATCTAGATTTCTGGGATGAGATTCTTGCCCAGACCAATACATTCTTTCGTAAGATCAGTGAGCAATGTCGACGATATCAGTTGCCTTGATAATTCAGTTTCTTCGGTTTTAAGGCTGAATTTAATTCAACATATTTGTCCAACAGCGTGAAATATTTACAAATGCTCGAATACTTGAGCACGTTTCTATTTTGAAGACATGTACACAGGATCTTTTATGCTGCTGAAGTATGAGGAAATATTTTACGCGATTTTCCATCAGCTGTTCAGTTCAAGAAGGACGTGCTTTCGCTTTTGCAATTTAATATTGTTCCCGACTTTCTTTTCTAACACAGTATTGAACCTGGTAAAGACTAGTATTTCATTCCAGAGCGAGCCACAGTTCAGGATATCTTCATTTTCCATCGCCGCTTCTCCTGTCGGGTCGCGGAGGGTGTCAGTTCAGGATATTAAATTGAATTTCCTGCTGACCTTGGTTATGATGATACTCTGTTCGTGAATATCATGGAAAATGGGGCTTCGTCATTTGGCGGCTTAAGTGACAGCCAAGTTTTGGAATCCAATCTGCTGCAATGGGTCAAGAAGTGCAGCTACAAAAGTGGTTCACTAAGGGGTTTTATCATCTCCAGCGACGGCACCGTCTCTCATTCAAAAATTATCTTGACTTCTATTCCTTTCGGTAACTTGTGCAATATTTGGGCTGACAAAGGAACAGTTCTTTTCATAGTAATCCTTCTCTGCGTTGCTTAACTCAGGTCGGTGTTACTACTATGACATGGAAACAACTGTCCTAAAGAATGATCATTGAACTTTGTACAGCAGTGTTCGACAGGATTCACAATAAAAATTAACTTGCACGACGATAAAAAGAATGATCATACCTCCATTTGGGCAAATATGATCTCTGTAAAGATTGACTTAACGTAAAACATGGCAGATAGCCAGAAATCGAATGTACCGCATAGATAAACATTGAGAAATAGATCTGCTATCATATAAAAACTATTCTTTCTACAGTGCCAAATTATTCATTCTAGACGATGCTCTGTCACAAGAGTGTTGTAAAACTTTGAACGCAGCACTTATCGCATGCAATAAACTTTATGCTTGCGCAAAGCATAAAAGTAAGTGATCAACATGCAAAACAACTTATTAAAATTTCGATAATGAAAACGCTATTTTGATGCTCCACCGCACCATGCTCCATCCTCCTTGGTCCTAAAGCTTTGAACGACAGCTGTAATCCGCTTCGTGAATTCCAGAAAAATCGAAACGAACAAGCGTCAGAGGTGAGCTAAATACGCAATCGCATATACGTGAGAACTGACACTTTTGTTTACAGATTGTGCTGATTATTACACTGGACATTCAGCTGTCGAGTCTGCAAACGGAATCGTTCGCACTGGACAGCATAATCGTACAATTCGTCCACTCTGGCATGACTAGACCTGAATACCACGCTGCTGCCGTTTCTCGAAAGTCATCATCATGCTATCCTTTTCTCGGCTGGTTACGCCAGAGCAACTGGAAATAATCTCTTCAGCTGATTTGAACAGAGCAATTGGAGTTCAAAGCCGATTTCATTGCCACTGAACCACCTCGGCTAAAGAAATTAATTGTACAGGTCTATAACTCCGTTCCGTGTTACGCTGATTATTTGATCATCATAAAATTAGCAATGCACTGCGCTATATAACCTGGGTTGAAAGAACTGTCCATCTATTGTAAGGCTACAAGAAATCAAAGTGATTAAAATATAACTGACAATCAGTGCCAGAGTATGTGGTACGATTAATTAAAGTATATTTTCAGCAGTGTCAAACATTGCTGATCAGGACTTAGCGGTAAGAAGGTGATATACTGTAGTCCAGTAGTTAGGTATTAACGACCAGTGATTAATGAAGGTGCAGGGTTTTGCCAAAGGATATTGAAACGTAAACTTCGATTTAGCTTATTGTCAGTCATGTTCTTTCAAATATATTTAGATCGCCGAAAGTACCGAGCTCCGAATGAAACATGATATGTGTACTTGAACGTAGTGATTCAGTAATGCTTTTTTTCGTTGACACTGTTTGAACACAGCTCTTATATTGTAACGTATTAAACACCGAGATAGCAAGCGATGACTAAGTTTATTACTGATATATGATCTTAGTGGGTGCGGCGATGACAGACCGGAGACGACCGACGATCACACACACGGCGGAGGAAGAGGCTCTGGACAAAATTGCGCGAGACGTATGTATATGATAGTGATTGTTAAATTCTGGATTGGAAGCTGTTTGACTAAATACAGTGTGATTAATTTGATGAGTTTTGAGGTTTTGTGGTTGTGACTGGTCTTTTGGATGCGGCTGCAAAGGAGTTGCAGCTGATCGCCTTTTCGTTGTTTGTTTTGTTGTCGTTTTCGATTTTCTTCATCTCACCCGCAGCATCTACATAAGCGCACGTTTCGAAGGCTGCCGAGTTCGTCGTTCGTTTTTTACCTCCTCTTATAGTTTAGAAATACTCTGACGTTCGTTCGTACTCCCGGAGAGTGCCGATGGCGGTTATGGCGAAAATCGCTTGGTTTGGTGTCACAGAGCAACGAGGTCGAAGCTTATGCACCGATCCGCGACCCTCACTTCGGTTTGAGCCGACACTTGTCAGCTCACGTCACCTACATGTCGGCGATGCCTATGATATAGACTGAGTGGCGTTTGCTCGGTTATCGCAACGAACGTCAGGTGGTAGGAAACCTATGTTTTGCGGCCTTATTTCATAAGTCGGAGAAAGGCGCCGGTAG